ATTGTAAAGCTCTGTGAAAAAGATGATAGATACTTTTATGTTTATCGTAAGAAATATAATAATAAGAAAACAAACAGCACAACCTTTACATAATGGTGCAATTGTTACCAAGAACTAGAAAAAAGACAAAAAAAGTTTTAAATAACTCTAAACAATATAATACAGAGTCACAATTAGATCATTATAACTGCAGAGGTTCTATTCTTGTTGGGATTGATTTACAAAATAAATTAGGATCAGTAAAGTTAGATTATACATATTTACATCCATGACCACAGCACATAGGCATTACTGATAAAATTAAAACTTACATTAAGGAGAATTTAGCATATTCAGCATCTAAGTTGTATAAACAAATTGTTCTTGAAAAGATAAATTGCTATGAATTATTCACTATTGATCAAGCATATTATTGGTGGGTATATCATGCTGTTATGAAGTATAAAAGAGCAAATCATTAACTTTAGTTGGCAAAACTGTTATTAAATAAAAAAAATTACAAAATTATTTTAGAAGTAGATAATCCAATAGAAGCATTTGCATTCATAACACCATTTATTACTGATTTGCCTAAAATAGCTTTTGAAATTTTAGTTGTTGATGCTACCTATAATACAACCAAACTTAAGCATGAATTTTACTCAATTCTAGGAGTTATTAATAGTACAAGCTTCCCAATAAGTTATCTATATTTTCAAGTAGCAAAAATCATAATATACATATGTTTTTAACAAAATAGTTTAAGACTATCTCAAATATGAATATTAATAATATAAAAATATTACTTTCTGATAAGAATTTTTCACAGATCTCTAGTGTACAAACTATTTGGAAAGATGAAAGGGTGCAACTATGTAAATGGCATGTAAACTGTGCTATAGAACAAAAGCTTTCTTCAACTATAAAAAGAATAAATATCAGTTATGATGCTAATAAAGTATATAATGAATGCCCCACAATTGATCCTACGTGAAATAATGATCTTCTTCAATATACAAATACAGTTTTATGCAACAAAGTTTTTCTTAAGGAAGAATTAATAAAAGATGTGCTAAATCTTATAGAAACTCATTTTCACTGCCATATGTTAATACCTACTGCTGATCAAAAATTTGTTACATCATCTCAAGAAATATGAATACAATCTATTTGTAAAATGTTTAACTACTATTATCAAAAAGATCTATTACATGTGTGGTTATATCTGTAAAATGAATAGTACCATTGGAATAGATTGACACTTTGGGCATTATCTGCCTCACAAGATATTTTTATAATTCACTCAACAATGATTATAGAATCTCATTGGCATATTTTGAAAAGAGATTATTTGTACAAATTTAACCAGCCACGTATTGATCTTGTCTGTTACATTTTTTAATTGAAAAATTACTATCTATACAATTATAATGGTATTAATTACTTTTGCATGAAAGAATCTTATCATCCTGGCATGATGATTTTAAAAATGAATAGCAAAACTTGCTATATATTCAATTAAAAATACAACCAAATATCTAACCAATAATGAGCATTGGATATGTTCATGTCTCTATTTTTTAAAAAATAGATTTTATTTATATAAATATCTTGTCAATTCTCTGGGAAATATGATGGCTTCGTTCTTTAGAAAGGTTAATAGACTTATTTATTACATTTTTAAAGAATATATATCTTAATAGTATTTAAAATTAGGTTTAATGAAATTTACATTATCTATTAATTGAAGAATCTGAAAAAGCTATATGGGAGAAGATTTGCATATTACCTGATATCATACAACATTCTACTGTAATAATTAATTTAACAATTCTTAATGACAATATTTCAGAAGATGATGAATTAAGTGAAGATAATAAAACTGGATTAAAAATTATCAATCAATATAAAAAAACTCTTTATGAGGTATAGTTTATTTATTATTTTTATCAAATTAACTATACAATATAATAAATAGAAGTATTAATATTGATATTACTTCAATATAGACGCTTGACTTTTTTGAAAAGTCATATAGTCTTCCACAACAAAAAAAATAGTTGAAAATTATTGAATCAAATTTTAAACCAATTCAGAAAATGGTAGAAGATATAAAAAATCTAAACCTGGCATAAACAAAATAAAAATACTTTTTATTGGTAATTCGAAACCTGCAAATCTTATATTATAAGATTATATAAAGCTAATAATAAAAGTTCAAATCATTCAAATAAACTTGGCTTTTTCTTTTTTAAATACAATAAAAATTTTAATGATAATACTTAAAATTTAATTAAGTTTTATAATGTAAAAAAAAATACCATTGACCTGCTGGATTATGAAATCAGATCAGATTTTAAACAGTGATGTAACTGATTTTGGTGGTCATGCTAGAGGGGTTTTGATTTTGGTGGTTATGCTAGGGAGGTTGTTTCTAAACACTCTCATTTTATTTTTCAATAAGATTTTTTAAACTCTTATTTATTTCCAAAATATGCTGTTTTTTTTAAATTCTAAAACCTCTTAATATGCTATTTATTTTTTCGAATTTAATTCTGCTAACTTTGTTGACTTAGACTATAAAAAAAGGTTTTGCCATGTCTAGGTTTTATTTTGACTTAAATGATCTTTGTGATTTATTTTTATGTAATTAGGCTATTTTATAAGTCATTTTTTGAGAACAGCTTTAGTGAGCTAACTGATCAGACATGGTGCATAATCCTGTACAAGATATATTGTATAATTTGGAAAGTGTTATAAATAAGGTCAATTTATGAAATATCTAAGGTCAAAGTAAAATTTTGACCAATTCCATAAGATTCTGAAATATAAAAAAACCTATCTCGTAATCACATGCGGATTATGTATATGATCTCATATTCCACATGGGAGTTTTGGAAAAACTACCAATTGCCTATATATCTAATAATTGTTGACTCACAAGTCTTTATAAACATGATTTTTAATTGAAAAATTTTTTTGTAGCACAGTTATGAGCAGACAAACAGTTAAGAAAAATATTGATATACCTTATTTTCATTTAAGACATAACAGTTATAATTGCTAGATAGTTCATATGCTCTTATATAAATAAAATAATTACTATTAGTTTTTGTAAGTATTAAACACTGTCATAGAAAATAAAGAGCCAAACTCTTCTTTTCCAATCCATTATCAGTTCTAAGTATCCTTATTTATACTTGCCATCTCTATTATAGATATCTTACTTCATCTTATTATATTTATTATAATGTGCACTTTTCTGTCATACTGATTTTTTAGTATGTAAATAAACTTTTATGCTTACTAACTAAATTAATGTGAATGAAATGCTTGTATGACAAATAACAACATATTCATCAGTTTTTATTTGGAATAACTGTGTAATGTTAATTAATTATAATATTATAGTATTATAGTGTTATAGTATTATAGTGCTAACAAAAGTTTCCCTGCACCTATATCTTCTCATAAAGAGGTGCTACAATCTTGAAAATTTCAGAAAAGTTAGTATATACTTAGATTAGATTGTGTATTTTGTTTTAAGATTTTTAATCACTAGAAATAAATTTAGATGAGAGCCAAAGTCAGGACATTTTTTGTTCAAAAAAATAATTGTATTCAAAGGAAATTTAATATATCATCAAGGCTTAAAGCTAAAGGTTCTAAAAATTAATATATTAAACTTCAATGATATTTCTGTATTAGTGACAAAGATTTGACTCGATTTTATGAGATAATTATTGAGAAATTAATTTTTAAAGTTTTGAGTTTTATTTTAAATTGTTGAGACCTGACACTTTTTGTATTGCATAACGTTTATTATGAATATCATGTGTTCTAACAATTTTAATTTGATGATTTTGCTATCATTCGAATTGTCTCATTGAGATAATTCGAATGATACCAAAATCATCAAATTTGGATCACTAAGTTTTGATTGAAAAGCTTTTACTTTGTAATTTTTAAAAATGAAATTCAAATTTTAAAAAATTAATTTCTCAACAATTATCTCATCAAATCAGGCCAAATTTTTTATTACTAATACAGAAATCATTGAATTTTTATATGTTAAATTTTAAAATTTTTAACTTTAAGCCTTAATAATGTATTGATTTTTCTTTGAATTCAATTAATTTATTTATTTTTTAAATAAAATATCCTGAATTTAGCTCTCATCTAAAATTTTTTTCTAGTATTTAACAAACCTTTTAAAAAAATACACGATCTAAACTACATATGTACTAATGTTTCTGTAAGTTTCAAGGTCATAGCACCTCTCTATGAGAAGATATAGGTGCATTGCGACATTATGATAGATAAAATGTACGTCAATTAGATGCTATGCCGTAATTAATTCTACCATTGGTAAAATGCCGTAATTCAGTAATTCTATCACCAACTATACTCATGAGACACCTGAGTGAAAATAGATATATAAATTATTATTTGTTAATTTTTTATCAAATAAATGCATAATAAGTATTATTTATACAATACATATCTTTCCTTATTTCTGATCGACAGTTATATATTAAAGACATAAATAGTATTTTAGAAGTATAATAGAAAAATATCCTAATAGTATCATAATGAAAAGTTTTTTTGGGAGGCATTTATTAAATTGTAATAATTCGAAAATAAATTGTAACATTACTTAAGAATTTAAAGTTTTAAGCAATAATTTGTAGTTCTTTATTAATTTATTACGATAGTATCATATAATAACAATACATTATCAAAAAAAGAAGATACACATTTTACCTTCGGGTAACTCTTATTTTATTTTCTGATTTCAAAATTTCAAACATAAATAAGAAAGTTTGACCCCAATTATTTTCGAAATAAGATAATTGTAAATCACTCTAATGAGAATTGAATGTTATAAACTTTATATATGAAATAAAATAGAGCTTAAGAAATTTGGTAATGGCAATTACAAGTGAAACTTTAATTTTTATTAAAAATGATATATTTCTTCAGACTTTTGGTACATTACATAATATCTTTTACACCATGATTTACTCATTATCTTCAACGTTAACTTTTTCCAAAATTAAATTTAAATCATGTATTTGACTGATATAAATGGCTTGCGAATGTGATTTATAAGCTAGGTTATTTAATGTTAATAATTCTCCTACAACATTCATTTGTTGATATTGTTGGATAAGTTCTAATTCGGATCATAATACCACTTTCTAAAAAGAGGAAATAACTCATGGGCTTCTGGATGAAATAAAGGATTATCATCCCAGCACTTGACAATTAATGTTTTCAATAGTTGAGGTACATTAACAATATCTAAGTTTGGGCGAAGTCCATTACATATGCTCATAGTTAAGGAGATATCATGGAGAACATTGTGGTAAGGTGGCAATCCAGAAAATAATTGATATGCAACTATTCCCAAAGAATAAATGTCAGAAGCTTGTGTATATGATCCTCCTTTTAAAACTTCAGGTGCAATATAGGGTAATACTCCATAAATTTCTTTGCTGTCGTTTGCTTTATTAATTGGTTTGCATAATCCCAAATCAGTAATATAGCAACCAATACTTAGTTCTTCACTTTATTTATTTAATATATTACCCGGATGAAAATCCTTATGAATTAATCCTTGTGTATGAATGTGGTATAGTCCATTCGTCATTGAATATAAGAGGCCAAGTTTATCTTTTAAAGATAATTGATTGTAATTGTTATCTAAATATTGTCTTAAATTACCACAATCAAAATAATGCATCACAATTAAATAATTTCCTGTTGCGGGGTCTTGAGAAATTCCATAACATTGAGCAACATAAATAACAAGCTTTCAATGATTAAACCATTGATAATGAATGATCTCTTAAAAAATGTTAGCTGTTGCGTTTCTAGAATTATTTAACTTTTTAAAGCAATCTCTTGAAAGTTCCATTCTGCCTTTGATACCACACCAAAGCCTCCATGAGCAAGATATTCAATATTGGTTAATTGCTCATAAGATATCCATTTTAATCCGTCATAGTTTCGAATAAATGCTCCGATTCCATTCATTTCTGGTTCCAAAGGCTACGGAAAGTTAAAGTTGAAATTATGAGAATCTGGATGGTGATATTCATCAAAAAAGTAAAATTCTTATTTTTGATTAGTTCGAATTGAAAATACTTTGATAATTTTCCTTTTTTATTTTTTATTTATTTTTTTATGAAAATTTGTTACAATCCGCATTAGCATGTTAATAATTTATGGTTACCTGCATGGAATCTTTGTCTTGAAGTTACACAAATGATTATATATGTACATACATACGTACATACTGCACTTGCTATAAATAAATGTTGTGCAAGGAATACATATCTTAAGCAAATTTTGATAACGCATCCTTTCTTGCGTCAAAATGTCAATTCATAATAACTTGATTTTAAAGCAATTAGAAAAAGTTAGCAGTTCATCAGAAATTATTCAAATAGACAATAATGATACCCAATTGTATTTAGAAGATAACAAGTCACAGGATTTTCTTTACAAAATTGTTAAAGAAATGTGTAATTTGTATAAAGAAGAAAGATTGAAAGGCAAAAATTCTCGTTTAACTCTTGATATATTGGAAAAATTTCTAATAAAGAAGAATCAAAATCCAAATAATATTATTAATTTTTATTTTGATGATCCTATGTTTCAAATAATTCTTGCAAGTTGTTATAGTCATGGTAAATGGGTTGAAAAGAATGAACGTAAAGCATTTATTTATTATCAAAAATCTGCAGAGATGGGTAACGCTAGTGGAATATGTGGTGTTGGTTATTGTTATGATAAAGGAATTTGAATTGAAAAGGATGAAAATAAGGCATTCATTTACTATCAAAAATCTGCAGAAATGGGACTCGCTATTGGAACATATAATGTTGGATGTTGTTATCAAAATGGAATTGGAGTAGAAATGGATGAACATAGGCATTCATTTATTACCAAAAATCTGCAGAGATGGGACTCGCTAACGGAATATTTATAATTGGCTGTTGTTATAAGAATGGGATTGGGGTCGAAAAAGATGAAAATAAGGCTTTCACTTATTATCAAAAATCTGCTGAGATGAGACTCGTAGAAGGAACATTTAACGTTGGAAATTGTTATCTTAATGTTGAAAAGGATGAATATAAGGCTTTCATTTATTATCAAAAATCTGCAGAAATGAGGCTTGCTGATGGAACATGTTAATGTTGGACAATGTTATCAAGATAGAGTTGGAATTGAAAGAAGCCTAGAGTTTGGAACTGTTTTTATTTTTACATGCTAAAACCAATTAAAACCTGTTTTTATTAACATATAAATAAAAATAACACCGGTTCCAAACTTTAAAGAAGTCGTAATGCTGCCATATGTTGGTTAGTATGATAATTATTATATGTGAAATTTTTAATGAAATTCACGAATTATTTATTTTATAATAAATTTGATATTTTTAAGTTATTTTTGAAAATTTAAGACATAAACTTTATGCTTGAAATTTGAGATAAGAATAAATTAAATTATTTCCATATACAGATTAATTTATATATATCAAAATGGATAATAGTTAAACTAGGACGGAATAAAATCATCCCCAAAAAATTGGCTACCCATAATATGTTCAGACACGTGACTCACATCTATATAAATAATCCTATGCTTTTTTTAAAAGAAAATGCGCAAATGCCCTTTAATCTTTTGATTAAAAGTGAATAGATTATAGATAATGAGGCATGGCTATTGAACATTCCCTTATGTGTTAAAAAAGTAAAGTAAATTAAAATTTTATTAGTCAAAATAAATTACAAAATTTTACTATAATAATCTATCTTCAAATACTAACGTATAGTATTATATGCATATATAAGCACTACACTCTACTAGTGTTATGAATCAGAACAAAAAATGCAATTGATTAGTTGGTTGAAAATTTTTTTGATCAATTATTGCAGTTTGCAAAAAAAATGTGAAATTTGCAGATCAAAAAAAAAAAGAAATTGATGATTTCTGATTTCTGATTGCCGATTTTTTTAACATTACTTCTGATGACGTATGTATATCAACTAATATTATACCATATAAAGTCTTATAT